CATGTATGGGGGAGCAGGGAGGTGACAGGGCATGCCATGGTGGGAGAAACCAGGGGCCTGGAGAAGGAGTAAATGTGGGATGTGGGGGGAGGGCTTGCATGAAAGCCTGCCACAACTTCATGTGAAAACAGGAAGAAAATATTTGAGTCAGAAGTGAGTCGTAATAGCACCTTTTGTACCGCCCCTCTGAGTGCCCCAGATTAAGAGCAGAAATGAAAAACATATTGATACATCCTATAACGAAACACATCCCAAGGTCTGGGACTTACATGATCTTTTCTTTCTTACCTTTTTTTCAGTTATAACATCTTTTTTTTTTTTTAAAGAGATATCTTCCTTTTTAAAAAACAAACAGACATATTTTATTGATTTTTTTTTTTTTTTTTTTTTTTACAGAGAGAAAGGGAGAGGGATAGAGAGTTAGAAACATCGATCAGCTGCCTCCTGCGCACCCCCCTACTGGGGATGTGCCTGCAACCAAGTTACATGCCCTTGGCTGGAATCGAACCTGGGACCCTTCAGTCCTCCGGTCGACGCTCTATCCACTGAGCCAAACCAGTTAGGGCCAGTTATAACATCTTTTAAAGATTTATCCATGTTGCAAGATGTACATTTAGTGCATTACTTCCAACAGCTGCATGTTATTCCAGAGTGTCACTGTTTTTCTCACCATTTTACAGGTGATGTGTACTAAGTTTGCATATAATATGCTGCTATCTCAAATGCTGCTGTGTGAGTATCCTCAATCGCGCCCTGTGATGGGCTTATGCAAGTTTCTTAGAGGTGCATAGTCCCAGGAGTGGAACTGCTGGGCCATCAGGAAAACACATGCTACAAGCAACTCCAAAATGACCTGGACTTAAGTTCTAACAGCAATGGCTTCTTCCCAGCCTAGCCAACACTGGGTGTTAACCATCTTTCACATTTTTGCCTGTTTCATACATGTAAAGAAGTGTCTTATTGTATTAATATGCTTTTATCTGTATATCTCTTCACCTACTTGTTAGTTTCTCAAGTTTCCCTTCTGTAAATTTGCCTGTTCATATTCTTTGGCTATTGTTCTGTTATGTTTCCTGTGGGTTTTTGTTTGTTTGGTTGGTTGGTTGTTTGTGTGTGTTTTTTTTTTCCTCAATGATTTGCAGGAATTCCTAGAATATTCTAGATATTAATCTCTTGTTGGTTTTAACCTTTGGGAATACCTCTCAATCTATCAATTTTATCTTAACTTATTTATGATGTTCTCTGTTAAACAGAATACTCTAATTTTGATGTAGCACGGTTTATCATTGTTTTGGTTTTATAGTTTATGCTTTTAGAGTCTTACTTAAGAAGCATTTTCCTATCCTAGGATTCCAAAGCTATTCTTCTGCTTTTAATTTTTATTGGCTTTATAATTTTCCCTTTGACTTTTAGGTTTTTAAAAATTCCCTGAGAGCTCATACCTTTGCTTATGGTAGGAGATATGGATGCAACTTTTTCTCCACAATGAGCCAATTTTCCCAATATTATCTATGAAACCTCTGTGTTAGATTGAATTCTGATTCCCAACCCTTCATGTCCTTCCTGCTATAGGTTTATATACCCAGGCCCTTTGCTATGTGATTTTGCAGTTCTTCCACTATTGAGGTTGGACATGGCCATGTGACTTATTTGGCCAATGGAATGTTAGAAGATGTGTTGGGAGCAGGGGCCTTAAATGTGTTTGAGTGATTTGACTTCACTTTTTCTGCTTTTGTCATTGCCAGAATGACACATGTGATGAAGACCTGAACTTAACCTGTGTCCTGGAGCCAAGCCCAGCTGAACTTGGCTGAGCCCAGCCAAGTCTTGAACCCAGATGAGATCAGCAAAATCTCAGTTCACATACTAACTCATGAAGGAGAAAAAACAATGGCTGCTATAGGTACTGATATTTTCGGATTATTTATTATATAGTGTTATTATTGCAGCAATAGTTGACTATCTCAGCATGATTTTAACATAGATTTTGTGTGATGTTGCCATTATTGCATACCAAGTTCTCACAGGTAAATGGGTTGTTTCTGAGTTCTCTGCTCTGTCCCACATGCCTGTTACTATAACATATTATGTCTTACTATCTGGGAAGGTGAATTTCCCCTCTCTCGGGTTTTCTTTTTTTAAAAAATGGCCAGGTTATAATGGAATTTAGTCTTCTGTATGCATTTCAGAATGTGCAAATTCCTCAAATCCTGCTACAAGTTTGAAAGGTTTACACTGAGATTATGAATAAATTTAGAGATCATTCAGAGCTTAACAATCCTATCCACAAATATTATATATTCCCCTACTTAGGTCTTCTTTGAAGTCTTTTTAATAGACTTAACAGCCTTACCCGGTTTGGCTCAGTGGATAGAGCCTGCATACTGAAGGGTCCTGGGTTTGATTCCGGTCAAGGGCACTTGCCCTGGTTGTGGGCTCTATCCCCAGTGCGGGGTGTGCAGGAGGCAATGGATCAATGATTCTCCCTTATCATTGATGTTTTTTATCTCTCCCTTCCTCTCTGGAATAAATAAAAGTATATTTTAAAGAAATAGACAACATTTTCTTCCTTAGTTTGAAAGGTTTACATTGAGTTTATGAATAAATTTAGAGATCATTCAGAGTTTAGTAATTTCACAGCATCCTATCCACAAATATTATATATCCCCTTACTTAGGTCTTCTTTGAAGTCTTTTAATAGGCTTAACATTTTCTTCCTAAAGGTTTTGTGCATTCTATCACAGGTGAATTCTTAACTTTACAGTTTTGTTGTATTTTCTAGTTTATTAGTACTAGTATGTAGGAATAGTTTTGGTTTTCATAAATTGATTTCATATTTAGGTTTCTTACTATAGCAGTTAAGGTTAGGTTTGGCTAGCCCTGCCAGCATGGCTCAGCGGTTAAGCATTTTCCTATGAACCAAGAGGTCACGGTGAAATTCCTGATAAGGGCACATGCCTGGGTTGAGGGCTCAATCCCCAGTAGGGGGCGTGCAGGAGGCAGCTGATCAATGATTCTCATTATTGATGTTTCTGTCTCTCCCTCTCCCTTTCTCTTTGAAATCAATAAAAAATATTTTTTAAAAAATGCATCTTCAGCACATTCTTAAATGTAGTACAAAAGCACACACTAGAAATGGAGGTGATTTTTCCCATGTGCGGGATTTACTTTGTCTAGATTATCACAGGGTGACCTGGCAAGAGAGCACTGTCTATACCTTTCATGGGTCACTATGTCCTGGGTGAGGACACTGGCCTCCTTGCACTGCTGAATTCCAAAGGAGCTTCCACACACAGAGGGGCAACGCATGCACAAACGAGGTACTGCAAAAGTTTGCAGGGCAGCTCATTTTCTTAGGTGGACTCAGGATTACAGCAGACATCATGGAGTAGGGCTGAAAGTCAGAAAGGGGAGAGGTAAACGGCATCAGGCTGAGTGTCACTATTACAGCTCAGGGGAAGACTCACACCCGAAAATGACAATAATCAAGGAAAACTTCAACATGGCCAGAGCAAACGTCCATGTTCTCTGACTTCCAGACCCCTGTAGGCTTTAATCTTATGGAAAAGAAAACATTATCTAGGTCACTTCAGGACCCTAAATCCACTCTAGGTCTCTCTAGTTGTCTTGTCTATGGCAAGTGGACAATGGGCCTTCCAAGTAGTTTTGAAACCTCTTTTTGGAGGGATGAGATACGAGTTTCCTTTCCTGGGATAGGAAGCAACTGTCCTAAATGTCAAGGTGCAGAAATGCACCTTGCGGGAAAGAAGTAACTGCTTTTGTGGGCATTTCTATCCAGGTTGATCGGTAATTACCGCTACTTGCAAACGTGCGCGGAAAGGGTTAAGGTCTGTAAAATACTAATTGGACCGTAGGCAAGAAACTGAGAAAAGCCATAGTTCCTGGGAAGGAGCAGGAGCAGTGACAAGATCTAAGAGTGAGCACTCCCTAGCATTGCCGTCAGGGAGCAGGTGGAGGAGGCTGCTGGGCAGAGAATGGGCGAGAGGTTGGGGAAGGAGCAGACATGCATTTAAAAAACAAAGCCCATACAGCTTCGCTCGTGCCAGGTTAAGAAGTGCCTTTTCCGGAAACTCCATTAAAAAAAAAAAGAAGAGAAGAAAAGGTATGTATTCAGGAACTGTTTCAACCTGTCCACACCCTCCCCTGACTTCCCCAGAAAACGGGCAAGCAAGGACGCAAATGCCGTGGCCAAGCCTCGGGTCTCTGGCTCCCAGCTGCCTCGGAGCCTGGAGCACAGCCCCCACGGAGCTGTCTCCGAGAGTGGGCGCTGCACGGACGTGGGCAAAGTTTTGATCTGATTCACTCCCAATGCGGCTGCTCCTCCGGTGTAGGGCTTGGCCTCCGGGGCTCCCGGCCGCGCACGGCAGTGCTTTATATTCCTTGACTCTTTAATTCCAAACATTGTAAATCAAAGTAGCTATTTTCACCTATTTACAAATCAGAGACTGAAGACCTAATAGATAAAGAAATTTTTTCAAGGATAGAGTCAAGAATCAACAGTAAGGCTTTCTGTCATTAAATGTTGTGATTTAGCCTTGATTCATGTACCAGTGGGGTCCCTTGCACTGGTGCTTGGTTGGGGCCAGGAAGGGACTGCAGGAGGGATCCAGGGTGTGTCCAGCCCATCTTGCCCTGTCCTGATTGGCTGCTAAT